GTTCCCCAATCAAACTAGACGAGCAGGACCGCTGTAAGCTGCGCTACTCCGCTATCGAAACTACTTACCTTGACGAGCAGGACCCTTGTCAGGGCGAACGATGGGAATGCCGCATCACCCACTGTAAGGCTACTCATCAACATGCCCCTGCCGTCAACAGTCACGACGAAGGTGAACAGGGTGGTGCAAGCGGTGATGTCATTGAAACCTAATGTGCTTCGTTGTTTTTGCTGTTCGTATCAGTATCTTGATCAGGAATATTTTCGGTACCATGATCATTCAAACCATCTCCTTTTATCTAGTATTACTGCGATTGTTACTACAGTTGTGTTCTTATTCTTATTACGTATTCGAAGTGCTGCGATAGCTGTTAGTGCTTATCATCACTGTCATCACTGAACTTATTCTCTTAATCTATACTAACATTACTCTCTGTCTCTCTCTCTACGTATATATATATATATGCATTGTAATTTGTGTATATACATGTATATATATATACACATATATATATATATATATGTCATCTACATATGGCCCAAAATGCCTGCGATCGTTTCTCGAGCTCCATCCGCTCAATACCCCCGGAAAGCGCGAGGTCTGAAGCCGGGGCAGGCCTCCAAGGCTGCGGCTTTAAGGGTTTGGGGTTTAAGGGTTTTCGGGTTTGGGGTTTCGAGTTTTGGGATTTTTGGGTGGTTTAGGGTTTTGGGGTTTGGGGCCCAGAGTTTAAGGGTTCAATTTGAAGGATCTACGGCTTTAAGACTTTAAGAGCTCGGAGCCCGGGCTCAGGGTGGGGTTTTGGGATTTGAGGTCGGTAATTCAGGGTCGGAGATTGAGGTCTGCGAGGGGTTTAGGGTCTAGGGTTTAGGGAAGAATAACAGGCTTTTGGGGTTCAGACCACGGGATACCCGTCCCTTGCTGTCCCTGCACTCGAAGAGATATTCATGAGATGGCAACCGGAGCAGGACTTCATTCGTGCGAATAGGGATTCTTGCCTGAAGTGGGGGGTTTGGCTTTGGAGCTTTGAAATTCCTGCTGATCATTGGGCCGGCGTATCCTTCAAACACGCAGCGAGGCCAAAACACTGCACGAACGCTTTCTCCCTTCTCACTCAACTTCCAGGGACACGTTCATCCTCGTTGAGCTCTACGCACCATCGGACAACATCACGTGGTTCCCATGATGCTTCGACTCATGCAACTGCTAGGGTTTCAGTTAGGCTAGGCCTCCGAGGGTCTCTCTCTCTCTCTCTCTCTCTCTCTCTCTCTCTGTCTCTCTCTTCTTCCTTCAGGTGCAAGGGGCTCGTTACGCCCCCCGGCCCATGGGGCCCCCCATCGTTCATGGGGCTTTCGGGGGGTTCTTCAGCCTCTCTCTTTCTCTCTCTCTCTCTCTCTCTCTCTCTCTCTCTCCCTCTCTTTCTTTCACCAGGGCTATGGACACAGAGGTTGCCCCCTGTGCCCGCTCTCTCTCTCTCTCTCTCTCTCTCTCTCTCTCTCTCTCTCTCTCTCTCTCCTGCATACATAAATATATATGTATGTATAACCATCCATAGTTCTAAGTCTGTATGTGCTGACCGCTCCGCACTGCAGACCACTTATTCATCCATTGCTGCGGCAAGGTCCAAGAATAATTATTTCGATTAGCGAGCTCAGATAGCGGGAAGGAAAAAGAACCGCATTTGAAGTAAGCCCCGCAAGGAACACTCCGTCAAGGACGGAGAAACGTTAATCACACCGAAAACAAACTGCCAAAGTCAACGAAGCATCAAATTCCCAGCCACAGCAGACGTCTCCATCATCAGATATGAAGAGGAAGCCTACGACTACTGTATCTGATCAAGCTTACCCAGCCCTCATACTAACGGCTCTCATTTTTACGGAAATCCTGAAACTAACGAAACCCCTGAGCCCAAAAAACTCTGAGCTTTAACCCTGTCAGCCCCAAGCCCTTAACCGTAAAGCTCTCAAAATCCTGTTTTCATCCCAAAGGCAAGTCTTTCAGCCCCAACGCGCCACGCCTCAGGAGGCTCATGAAGCGTCCTGTAGGAGGAGGCCGCACTGCAACACGGGCCGATGCTAGCGCCGACGCCCTCGGCCGTGCTGCCCTGCATAGAGCGTTCAGGAAAAAGTTTAGGCCCGAGTATTTCGACAGCTTTAGGCGAGTTGACAAAACGGAGTTGTGGTGCAACGTTTTGGACACCTTCCAGCTGCTCTCTCGGTATTTATCGGTTGTGTGATCGTATTGCGATAATGGTCCGATAATGCTCATGCTGAACATGATGTTGACTGACGAAGATGCTGACGATGAAACGGATAAACAAAAACTGTTGCTGTCATTGTTTGCAACTGTGATGACGATAGAAGTCGTCATTGCTACTATTGCTGTGATTGCTGCCACTGCCACTGCTGCTGCTCTTGGAATTGTTGCTTCTGTCGTTGTTGCTGTGGTTGTCGCCCTTCTAGCTGCTGTTAGATGTTCAATATGGTAAAAATATCCGCCGCATGCTGCATTCAGGCAGGCCGTCACTTCACCAGATCGGAAACCGGAAACCGGAAGTGCCACACCCTGACTCCTACACCGCCATCTCCTTCCCCAAACGTATACATCCCGCAAGCATCGAAAACAAGCATCGAAATCCCACAGCAAAAGTGTAAAACATACCTTTTTCCACAGGCTTGAATGAGCTCGCCCGGCCAAGTCCCTCGCAGCATACCTAAGTTCTAAATCTAAACCCTAACCATCGCTTGTGCCTCTGTTTCGCAGGGTTACGAGCGACTTTCGAGAAGACGCACTCCGGCGACCTCGACTGCAGCTGAGCTTCAGAGAGCCCGGGCTGAATGTGATATTGTTGATGATCAAAATCCTGCATTACCCATGATAAGGACTATACCATAATTCCCATAGTCCCATAGTTTAAGGTCCTTAAGGTAATGCAGGATTTATATCATCAACAGTAGGAGTTTCACTCAGGAGCGAAAACGTCTTAAAGGCTTCAGGAATCTGGGGTTCTGAATTTTGGGGTGGTTTTGGAAGTCAACGGGAAAGTTAGGGCAGGTCTTTGAGGGTACTCCAAGGCTGATGCTGAAGGCCTCCCGGCCCGTTCTACGAAAGACAAGGGACCAAGCGACATACATAAACTGTTGAAGACAGAACTCTCACATCTAAGCCAGGCTACGACATACCTTAAAGCCCAATATCCTATTCAAACAAGCTTTAAGCCGTAAGCCTCAAGAAACCCTATGAACCTTTTCGTTGTGGCACTGGATGAGGAGCATGCCAGCACTAGCCAGCAAAGCAACACTATGCCAATAATCAGTCGAGGCGCAATAATTAGAATAGGGTTTGGGGCTCTTTTATAATTATAGTACAATCACAAAAAGGAGCCCTAATTTGAAGTATAACTATATAAGGAGCCCTAAGGAATTACATGTATACTTCTTTGAAATTTAGGCTTCTCTAGTAATCAGCCGGGGCACACATAATGCGCGCGACAAGGCGGCAAAAGTGCCCGCAACCGTTCCGCAGGGTAGCGGCGAGCCGCCTCCTGGTCGGGGGTTCGTTTAGGGTTTTGGGTTTAGGGGTTTAAGGTGTGGGGGTTTCGGGGTTGGGGGGGTCCCCAGAGAGACTTCAAAACCTCGGAAATACGGAATATAGACCGTAAGCCATAATAAGGCTCCGAATATAGTTCGTTTTTTCAATTCTCAGTAAAGGGTTTTTGCAGTCTCTGGGTCTTTACAATACAGAAAGCATCGCGGGTGTTGGTGACTAATGCTATACATGAGGCACATAGCTCACTAAGTAACATGCGCCTCCAAACAGGAGGCCTGTTGCTGTATATATATATATAGGGTGTATAGATGTCGCTCCCATACTTTCCGATGCTGCCAAGTATATACTGCCAGCTGGGAATGGGGTTTAAGATTTACGGCTGTAGTGGCCGAGGTTTAGGGATTGGGATATGGTATAAAAAAAGCATAGGTGAGTTAATAGAGGTCAGGGCTTTAGGTCCTGCTTCGCCATGCACACAGTCTTCGACAAATTCGGTCGGCCTGGCTTTCGGGCTTTGGGCTCGAGGCGCCGAGTGATGTAGAGCCTGGAAGTTCAAAACACTAACATCCTATCATGAGCCTTAAGCCTTAAACCCTGAACCATCCTAGACCCTAAACCCTAAACCCTGAACCATCCTAGACCCTAAACCCTAAACCCTAAACCCTGCAAAACCCTGAACCATCCTGAACCCTAGAACAGAAGATCGACCCTCACAGTCGGAACTCTTGCCTGCGCCGTGAGAAGACGGAGGCGGTCGACATCCGACTGCGCATGGCTGGCCGCCTGGCTCTGTAAGGTCATGCATATAGGCCTTGGGCTGAAGCATACTTTTGATGTTGAGGGTCCGTTTTAGAATTTAAGTCTTTAGTGTCTAGCCTCTACTTAAGGGTTCAAGTGCTGACAACTTCGGCTTTACTTTTCAGGCCGTCGTGTTATTCGGGTTACGCACAGCAAGCTCGCCGCTAGATGAGCCATCAAGCAAACTGGTTCAGAAATTTCTGGCAAGGGTTTAGGGTTTAGGGGGTTTCTAGAAGGGTGATAAAGGCAGAGACCTGACTCAGAAAGCCCTGGCTCTTGTTGGGCTTCTGAATATGGACCGTCTGTTTGCTGCGGCCGGACAAAACACAATAAAAGAAAAGAAACAAACATGTATATATATATATGTGTAGATGTATTATATCTATACATGTGTTCTCGAAATATATCCTTCAAGCATGTGCGTGTGCTCCCAAGCCTGCACTGAAGCCTGAGGTGCAACGGTCAGCTCTGGTAGCAGCCTCACGGCTAGTGCCTCCTTCGCCTTGCGGAGCAAAGATCCAAGGCATACTAGGATTGTCCATGCACTCACAGCTCGGGCATGTTAGGGTTTAGGGGTTTGTGGGCTGAGGGGCTCAGGGCCTTGATTAGGGTTTACATCTTCATTTATAACCACCATCATAATCATCATCATCATCATCATCATCTGTCGTGGCCACCACCATCGTGATGTTATTCATCATCGCTATCCGCACCTACATCGCATGGATAACTTAACAGCATCGTAACCTTCCATGTGCTCATCTGCATGTCTTACATGACAAGTGGGCGGCTTGCCCTTGTGATGAGTCTTGCCCCGGAGAGAACAATAGACAAAACGTCGAAGGACACACCATAACTTAAGCCGTTCCTGAGAAACGGAAAAATATGAAGAAGACCTAGATGAATGTCAAGATGAAAAGACTGTGATTGTGATGAAGCCGATAGTGACGGTGCTGCTTGAAGGGTGATGCATGTGAGCAGTATGATGTACATGGCGATGAGGAAGATGACCACGGTGATGCTGATGATAAGGATGAAGATGATGCCGCTCATCAATATGGTCATGACACTTCTCAGTATTTCGGCGGTGCTGCGAACGATGATGATGGCGATGCTTATGATGCTTCTGGCGCTACCTTTAGAAGTGCTGGTGAAGCGGCCAGTGAGCTTGCGGAAGGCGAGGATGTTAAACATGATGCTCACAGCATCCGAGTGAAACTCAGGCGAGATCTGCGGTGAGTGTTTTGCCTAAAAAGGATGTCAACGACAGATGTATGCGAAAAATGAAGTGGAACGCACGATAAAGAGCCTCTTCATCTACTTCGTTCTCAGCACGCATGCCCCAATGAGAAGTCAGGGCTTAACAAGTGTAGGGTACATAGGTTCAAAAGCCAAGGTCCAAGGTGGTGGAACACGCTCGTGTTGCACATTCGTACGCAGACAGGGACGCATGTGCAAGCATGCCAGCAGGTGCTTCTTTTGTAGTGCCCCTGCTTCGGCTCGGGCTGCCTATCAACCCTAAACCCTAAAATCTCACACCCTAGCTGATTTGCGATGGCCTCCCGGTGCAGCTTCCCGAGAGTGACGCCAGCCGTCGCTCGAGAAGCGGACCCAGTAACACAAGCCGCCTGAACACAAACAGCCCGCTGTCTAGCGCAATGTGAAGGGTTCCTCGAAGAGTTTTCACACTGCCTAGACTTCAAGTGACTTCAAGCGCCACAGGAAATGGGAACTGCGAAGTCAATAAATGAATAGGAACATGCGCCTGTGCATAGATGTGTGTGTGCGGGGAAAGGGGGGACGGCTGCATGGAAGTGTTTGCAATGGCTATACATACGCCAATATGGACGCACCAAAATTGAATTCATGTGCATACATGTCGGCTACATAGGCATTCATACTCGGGTTTTGTGTTCGATACGCCAGCGTACATGTGCGAAACAACAATCAACAAGGCAGCCGCTTATCCCTCGCTCCTACCCGAATGATTGCTTGCACGTATTACTGTGCGAATCTGTGGAGCTGCAACCGGCACTGTGGGTCTGTAGGTCGTCTAGTCCGGGTCCAGCGAACAATCTAAGGTTTACAGGCCTCAGGGCCTGAGAGGAACATAGCTTCTGAGAGCTCGAGCTTGCAGCTCGACCCCAAGCCCTGAACCACAATATTTTCTTGCTTGGTAGTTGAAAGATGTACAAGCTCAAATCTGCCCTCAGCCCCTGAACTCCAAACCCTCGAAACTCAGAACCTTAGAAACCCTACACGATTTTGAGCCAGGAAGCCAGCAGCATCCGCGGCACGCTAGGTGCGGCCCATGCAGCAGGTGCCTCTTCGAGTTCTTTGCGGTGGCACCATGGGCAAATGTTGCATAAAAGCTTGAAGCAGCAAAACAAGGCGCCTATAGTGACTCTATAAAAGTATGCTGGGCACTGCTGATTTGATTAAGAATCGAGGAGTGGCGACTCGGGCATCTCTTCGAGTTGTTCGGCGCATGTACGTGTGCATTAAAAATCCCATTGGCATTCGCTGTCTGCTGAGGGTACCTCGAGCACGCCAAGCCCTTATCAGACACGAGAACGCGTCACGGTCAATGTTCTGGCCGTCAGCGCCGTCGTAGTCGTAGCAGCAGCAGTCGTCTGACAGTAAGGGCAGTGCTGTAGTCGCCGTGGTAGAAGTAGTTGGAGCTTGTGGAGGGTGGTGGAGCAGGAGCAGCAGCAGAGGCAGTGCAGCATCGATGATGTTCTTGCTGCCGTCCCACTGTTCCCTGGAACGTCTCGACCAGCATGTTACACTGGTAATGCGGTGGAATGCGGTGGATCAACAGTAACACCCCTGGGACAAAACTCCGACACAGGGGTGAAATAAGTGCAAGCGCAACCTCAAATTCAGAACCCTTCCCGGAGAAGAACAGCGGCAGCGGAACGGCCTTGCTTGGTACCCTCAAGCCTGAAACCATGAAGAAGCAACAAAAAGTTGGAAAATCGTTAGAATCCATCTCCCTAGTTATTGGAAGTCACTAGAGGTTGGCACAAGCGGCCCGCCTTGCAAATCATCAGCGCTATGCGTTCCCACCTGCCGCAGGGTAGTAACATACACGACCATACCCCGCACACAAACACAAACACAAACACAAACACAAACACAAACACACACACACACACCCACCATACTTTACTGTACCGTACCGTGCCATCCAATCTGTCTGATAGTTACGCAGTTATATGCACATGTAGAGAGGGGCGACAAAGGGTGGTACCGATGCTGGTGCGGTTGCTTTTGGTGGGGCTGCTGGATGGTGGTGATGGGAAAGATGGCTGTCGACAAGGTGTGTCCAGTTTCCCAGAAACCTTAATATTTGGGATTCTATAGGGATAAAAATATCCCAACTAAGGTTGCCTATTGCCTGCGTACTCAACACGACTACGACGACTACGACTACAACGACGACGACTGCGACTGCGACTATTTGTAGTAGTAGTAGTAGATAGTAGCAGCAGCAGTATAGTACTATTGATCAACCGTAGTAATTAGTGGCAAGGCAATCCGGCATGATCTGTTTGAGGTGTGAGCTGGACGGCCCGCTTCCAGAGTCGAGTGCAAAGCCCGAAAAGAACCCTCTGCTGGTAATCATCAACCGGCAGGTGAGGGTTCAAGGTTTTGTTTGTAAGCGCCCCTTTTCCCATGCGCAGTCTCAGCAACCTCTGGGGCTGAGGAGTTTAGGGATTCCAGTAGAGTGTAGGCACACCCACAAAACAAACACACCAATTGAAAGATTGGAATCTGGGCTCAGGCAGCCAGCAATCGTGAGCCCAACAGAACCAGTCGAAGCCCACAATCTTCGTGGTCTTACAGCACACAGCCCTCCTCTACCAACCGATGCGCCAAGCTCATGCCCTAAATCCTGAAGGCAAGGCCACGCCTAACCCAACCCTCGAAAACCTGGAGCCCAGGCACAAATCCTGAAGCTCCAAACCCCAAAGTCCCAACAGGACCAACCCGAAACGGAAATTAAACAAAAATGCCCAAAGAAAAGAACCCTAAACTCTAAACCCCCAGCCCTAAGCCCTGAACCCGTAAAGGAAATCCTTATATAGAGCCTCTATACAATCCCTTGCAGGAAACCCTGAACTCACGTAAGCCGAAACTCTTAAAACCTATTTTGGCCCGCATAGATCCCGTATAGGAACCCTTACAGTTCCTGTAAAGGATCCCTCGTTAAACAAAGGAACCCAAACCCTAAACCCTCAAGCCCTAAACCCTCAAACCCTAAATCCCCTTTTACACCTGGGCTTTGAACATGCCAGGAGCCGAAGCGCTGACTGTGCTGTGGACTCCACCCGGCTACCCCAAATCCCCTAAACCCTCCCTAAACCCTAAACCCTAAACCCTAAACCCTAAAACCCTGAACCCTGAACCCTAAACCCTAAACCCTAAAACCCTAAACCCCAAACCCTAAACCCCGAGGCCCTAGGCCCTACACCCCAAGCCCGAGTCGCTTTGCTGCCTCGATCCGAGCTTCTCCGTACGAGGGAAGAGCTGCAAGCACGCCTTCAGGGTTTAGAGGATAGCGGATTAAGTCTTTCTTTTTGGAGCACCTCTTTTCCTGTCTGCAACAGGGGCTGAACTTAGGATTTAAGCTTTGAGGTTGGGTGTTTGGGGTTTAGCACCTACCTACCTACCTACCTACCTACCTATCTACATACGTGCGCACATACATACATATATACATAATATACATACATACATACATACATACATACATACATGCATAAACACATACACACATACATACATACCTACGTGCGTACGTACATAAATGCATGTATGAATGCATGTACATACATTTCAGCCGGTGTCAGGTGCGACAAGGGTCAAATACGCCATTTGCGACCGAGAAACGTGAACTCTTCCAAGTGGAATGCCTTTGCTTGTCTTGTATAGTGCATACACTGCCGACTCCCCGAAACGCGTCCGGCACCCCTGAAACCTCTCCTGATGTTCGTGCCTGCCAGATGGTGCCCTGCGGCGGTGTATAGTCCAGGTGCAACCACTGCTTGCCAGCCGTTTTGCTGCCTAAGAGATGGCGTTGGGTTTCGAGCATAGAAGCTCTGTACAGGTTTAGTGTACAGGTTTAGGGTGTATATGGTTATTAAGGGTTAGGGATATGAAATTTATGCCGGTGTCGACCGTTCCGGTCTGCAAGGCATTGAAAACCACAACCGCTTGCATCGAAGAGCTCCCGGGAGGGGCCAATGCCACGACGTCCACGGAGCCGATGAGTGGAGCGCCTGCAGAGCTCTTTCAAGGTTTTTTAGGATTTACGGTTTAGGGTTCGCATGGCTGAGCACTAAGAACTATGCCTTTAGGGTCTAGGGTTTTTGTTGCGCTCAAGCAGGGTCCTAGAAACTGAACCTGCTGGGTTGATGCGATGCTTTCGAAGGGCCATGTGGGTTGGGGCATTTAGGGCTTCTCAATGAGTTTAATTTGTGGTGCAGGGCTTGAACCGACAGATTTCAGTGCTTCTTACATAGGAGTTCCTCGCTAGTACTTTCGGGGAATCCGCTTCTGGGATGTAGGGGGTTACAAACTTTAAAATACCGGGGATAAAGGTGCAACGGAGTACAGGGTTTAGAATGTTATTTCAGGATGTACAAGGTCTCTGTCTCAGGCACGCGTAAGCAGAAGTATGTTTGGTCAGCTAGTTCTCAGCCATCACAGGGGGTGTGCGGGACAAGTCTCCGCACTGGCTTCTCGCCGGAGAGCACGGTATCACGTAAATTGCCTACAGCAGCCAGGTTGTCACGGCTTTCGGCTGCACCACCCTTGCGCCTCACTTCCGGGACTCTGCGCGGCCGTGTTGTGAAACTCGACGATGTAAATCGAAGATGTGCGTACTATCACTAGTGTAAAGCAAAAGCAGGAACGCGCAGAGTAAGCGGGCACTATGGAGCAGCATAGACAGGATAAGACAGCAGGTATATCAGATCACGATATATTCATACAACTACTTACTGCTTACTGACTCACTATCTAGACCCTTTACTCGGAACCTCTGCGTTTGATAGGGGGCCAACAGGGGTCTGGCTGACTCTTGCTATGCATATAGGGAAGATTATCTAAAGCCTATAGCGGCTATAGTCTTTAGATGAGGCTCCTCTCCCCCTCCGCCTTGGCTCCACGGGCATTCAATCTACAAAAGGTCTGAGGAATCGTGAATCAGATGGCTTGCCTTCCGGTAGATCGAACATGGCTTCGAAAAGCCGCGTGACCTCAGGATTAGAGCATTCCAAGGCACCGTCCACATGTGCGGGTGACAGGGATATGTGTGCAGTGACTTGATGCACATGATCGTCAGAATCTTATGATGTAAACCTGTTAACCTACGCTGAACAACTGCCCAATGTCTCGAAACCGGAAACGCCTACTTGCATGCCAGAGACCTCCGGGCGGCAGCGCAGGAACCAAGCAAAGTTGCCTGCAGCACGGTTGGCCGCTCTGCGTCTCATTTACTGTTGTCTTGGGCAGATTCGGGCTTATGGTGGGATACAAACCTCAACTACGACTAACTACGAGCTGCAGTTTGATCCTTCTCCTGCTGTGATATTTTTTGATCGGTTCTGCAGCGCCATGTGAGAGAGCCTCCCTGCAGAACGGCTTGCTACACCATCGTCAATACCTCTAACTCTTTGTCTGGATCTTGCATACTCTCCCTTGAGCTGCAAAACCTCCAACCCTCCCTGTGCCGGTGCCGTGGCAAAGCCCAGCGCTGGAGCGCAGGTCGTTGGCAGCAGCAGATCGGGGCAAATGATGCTCACGAACCTGACCGAAAGGCTCCAACCCTCCAACCTCCGAACCTCCCTCCTCTTGTGTTCCTATTTCTCTCGCGCTCTCTCTCTCTCTCTCTCTCTCTCTCTCTGTCTCTCTCATACAGGGCCACCCTCCACTCAAAATCACCAGTTCCTGCTGTTCGGCCTCGTCCAAGCTCCGGAGCTCCGGAGAAAGCATCCTCATAGACCCAAACAAAGAGAAATGCTTTACCCTTGCGGAGGGTTTAGGGTTTAGGGTTAGGGTTTAGGGTATATGTCACGGGTTAGGGATTTGTTGGGGGCTATTTAATTTAAGACTCTAGGCTTGAAGTTTCCGGTTTGGAGATGTAGGCTTCAAGTTTAAGGCCCTAAACCCTGGCCAAGTATCTGCAAATCCTCCAGAAGGAGCTTCAGAGCCTCTGCTACAGCGTCGCCTGGTAGAATATCACTCAGCACAGCATAGCCTTCTTCTTTGAGAAAAGCCCTCCAGTTGTCCCCAGTGCTGAAGAACTTGGGCGCGAGCCTTTCTTGCAGGACTCCAGCGTCAAAGATGCGAAAATTAAACCTGAAGGAACACCCAAAACGTACCAAAACCTTAATCACCTCTACGAACTCGTCTTGACTAAGCGGTACCCTAAACCCTAAACCCTAAACCCTGAACCATGAGATGTTGCTTCAGCTGCCCCTCTTGCAGAGACAAGGAACACTGGAGGATCCCACACGGGGGCTCGCGCCGATGTCGGCAGTGCACCGTTTGTGTGGCCCTGGTGGACGGTCCCTAAGTTGTTCAGCAACACAACGTGGAAAAAACAAAACATATACACCTTTTGGGTAAGTTGTAATGATCTCTGAAGCCAGGAACACAAGAGAACACAACAAAAAATCCACCGAACTACATTGGTAACCTAAACCGTATAAACCCTAAACCCTGAACCGACCCAGGTACGGCTGTCCCAAATCACGAGTGCAGACTCGTGGGGATGCGATGGACGAGGCCGTGGGTCCAGCTGGACGGCGCGGCTTACAAGCGACGGGCTTCGAACCTTCGCTTTGTGAGTTTAGGGGTTAGGGCTCTTTTCTAGCTTATAGGGTTTTAGGGTTTAGGGCTCCTTTGTTTTAAGTTTGGGGTTTAGAATTCTTTCTTGTAGAGTTTAGGGTTTAGGATTAAGGGTTCTGGGACCAGGGAGGTTTGCTATTCAGCATACCGGGTGGAGAGTCCTTAACGCCGTGACGGGTACCCCAAACCATCTGCGGAATTCATGGTGAGTGTTTTTCTACGATCGACGAGAGTTCGTTCAATTCGGGGCATGGTTTATGTGGAAGTGATTCCTGCACGGATGAGGGGCTACTTGGGAACCCAAAACCCTCCTCTTATTGAGAGTTGACGTCTCGGATTCAATGGGATGCAAAATTGTCCCTATGACTACTGTAACAACTTCGAGGATCCTAATGCTTAGTAACTAGTGTTGTAATATGGTAACTAGAGTTCTACATACTTCTAACCTATCCCCCCCATTAAGGCAGATATCACCTGACCTACGAAGTCCCATGACCCTCCAAGAAGAGGCCTTGGGGTTCCCGTATCCACGTGATGCTACAGCGAACCCTGAGTCTAAATACAGCAGTTCTTTATTAGGGACCCGGGAAACCAGAGCTTGACACGGAAAACCGAAAAAACAAAGCTGCTTAAGAGAGTGACTGCACATACGCATTGAGCTAAGCCAAGCGTCAACCTCAAGAAGACCGCACAGGGGGCAAACCCGAAGTGACATCGCTAGGCTAGCTAGCGAACCGACAGCATCCACATACCCACACACACACAAATATTAAGCAGTACTATTGCCTAGGGTTCCTGAAAATAAGAAAACAAAAATATGTACCTCAAAATCCTATTCTAATTCTTCAAACTTGTCCAGGTGCCGCTGTCTTGGCAGTGCTCCCAAGGCTTCCGCCAAGCCTCTGGAAGGTGCCATCGGTGTGCGACCGTGGCACCACCACCAGAGACCGAAAGGCCATTTCTATCGGGCCGCTGAAACGGCCACGGGACGGGCCATCGGATAAGCTAAGTAGGCTCCAGAGGTGTCTGACCTGCGTATAGGTCCCAAGAACGCAACGTGAAAGTCAGAAGCGTTGCTTCGATATGGACTGACTGCAAATGTAACGAAAAGTGTTTCAAGCGTTACCGTACGCACGAGGATCTTCATCAGGCAGTTTTTTCACAAGCTGAACGCCGGGAACTCCAAGTTCTGGCAGCTGCACACTGCTGCATGCGAGCTGCAAAACCTGGAGCCCTGGACGCACACCCTACAAGCCTGAGAGCATGAGGCGAAAAACCTGAACCCTAAAACCTATAAACCTTGAACCCTTGCAGAATCCGTATATAGAAGTTTTATAGATTTAAGGGTTGCGCTCGAAGAATCCGCTCCATTCAAGCTTTGGGTTCTCAGCTTGTTGGGCTGCAGCGCTTGGATCTTAAAATTGGCATATAGGGGCCTCAATTATTTTTGAGCTAGGGATTTGGTGTCTATGCGTATTATCGTATCTTTAGACTAAGGGCTACAACAAGAGTATAACACTTATCCGACCCTATACAGTGATTTTTAGATGGTTTTTCGGCTCTAGAAGGGTTTTTATACATGTAAAGGTTCTCGGGAAGGATCTCTGGCTTCGTGGATCTGTGTAGGACATTCGGCTGTAGGGCCCATGTGCTTCCCTATCGGCCCAAGTGTGTGAATTGGGTCTGGTGCATATCTATAGGAAAAAATAAAATAACACCAGGAAAAGGAATGCTATAGGTAATTATTCAGGCCCCTATACCCGTATATAGAGCCCTTGCTATCGGAATCCTACGGGCAAATATCGACAAAAGTAGTTTTCGGCTCAAAGAGGATAGGAGAAGACTTCGGCAGCAGCTGCTCGGGGCGCTTGGCTTCTCTTGGGTCCTTCGCCAAGCATCAGCGCGCCGAGTGTCTCCGAGACGATGACATCCTTAGTGTGTTCATGTCCGGTCATTGTAAAGTATAACTTGGAGTATGAGTTTGGATATATATATATATATATCTTTATTTATTCATTTGTATATGTATTGATTTATTGATAGCATGCTGTACTGTGTGTGTATTATGTTCATGTAGGAGGCTTATATAATGCTTAGCATATGAGTATGGATGTATTATTATCAATGCTTTATTGTACGTGTATTGTCCAGGAACCCGAAGGAACCGTGTCAAAACGAATTCATGCTTCTGTACTTCCTCCCTCCCATCTAGCAAGGACGCTGCGCGCATTGCATGCTTCTATACGAGGGCTAGAGGTTCGCAACATCCGTGGTTACTGTACTATTTAGGGGGTACTTACAATAAGTAAGCATCCTGCGGTGCCATCAAGAGTGTTGGGTCTCTCAGAAGAATGTATGGGAGGATTTTGCCGTCTCACCTGTCTGAAGTTGCCTCTCTCTCTGACTCAGGCACATAGATGTTACTCAGTCTTCGTGCCACAGTAGTAACATTAGCATCGATTCCATTGCCCTGACAACCGTGTTACCTGCGATGCGACCACCAGTCGTTTCACAGACTCCTGCTCCTCCACAATCGTGGGTATTTCAACTACATCAGGCATAGCTAAGGCAGGTACTGAAGTCTGCACCGCAAAAAGTTTGCAGACCCTATCTCCTCATGACACCGTATAAACCCCTGAAACATCTGGCACACTTGCACATCCTATGTTCCAATCAAACCCTGTGACAGCCATGGCAAGCAACCCTGATGAACCCGGACCTTCACCAATCCCCGACGATTCAGAAATTTCCCTAAACCCCTAAAGCCTGAACCCCTCAACCCCTTTTTCCACAGGCTTGATCTGAGCTCGCCCGGTTAAAACCCTAAACCCTATACTAAATCCCTATAAAGCCGGAACTCTCAACCCTAACGCCTAGGCCCTGGACCCTAAACTCTAAACTTCTAAACCTTAGACCCCTATAAAGCCTGAGCTCTCAACCCTAAGCCCTAAGTCGTCACTCTGCACGCCAAGAAGCAGCCCGGGCCTCTTCGCTCAGCTGCACCTTGCTGCTGAGGGCGTGAAGTATCCTTGGTGGAGAAACATGGGCTTAGGGTTTAGGCGTTTAGGCGTTTAGGGGTTTAGGGTTTAGGGGTTTAGGGGTTTAGGGTTTCGGGTTTTGGGTTTAGGGGAAGCAAAGGTTGGGCTTAGAAGTTCTGCTTTCGAGTTTCGCCTAGCATCAGACAAGAATACCACCCTTTCTCACCCACCAACCCACCCAGCCCGGAGGCATTTCGCATCTGACTTAGTCACAGGGTCTTGGCAGCTGCGAAAACCAACGACAAGAGCCAGGGATCATTATGAAGACAAGTCCGAAGGGGTCAGATTTCAACTCGGTAGGGACGATAGGAAGGAGAGGGAAAGACGCAGGAACCTCCTCGTGAAGCTTAGTGACACTCTCAATTCGATGTATGATTCTGATTGCGAGTCTCCACTTAACAGAAAACCTACATGTAGCATATACACTCACCAATTTTCAAAAGGAGCCCTATACGCTCTATATACACTGAAAAACACCTCAGTGCAAACCCTACCTAGGCCCTACTTCATATCCGAGGATATGGGCCCAACAAAGCACAGCATGCTTGTCACTGGCAGACCAGACACACAGTCTAGAGTCTAGGGTTTAGAGGGTAGGTTTAAGGTTTAGAGCTTAGGGTTTTACGGAAGACCCACCCACCCCCCTCCAGCTGAAGGCAAGATGCTTGATCTTGTCCTCCTGACTCGCTTCCCAACAGCTTGTCTTACAGCTGGTAAACTGTAACTGCAAGATCTCAACTAGTCAGCACAGGTCGCCCTGAACAAAACAAGGACACACTGCCTCGACCCGAAAGCCTACGTAGTTTTGACAAGCCCTTATCCGGCTCCTGGCCGTTGCGCTCGGCATTCAGCCTAGCCTCAGGGGGCAGATCGGCTCAGCAGATAGGCTTCTTAAAAGCCGAAGCCCTGCAACGGCTCTTTGCAGCCACAGTGGAACCCAAGGCTCAGAACTCTGAGAAGAAGTTCAAAGGATGACCCGACCCACGAAGACACTCCCTTAAAACAGGCTCTTGCTTTACACCAAACAGTCTAGACGCCTGCCGAGAAGGCGTTTGGCCAGAATACTCTCCCTTGTTGCGCTCCTCTCTTGCAGACATGTCACAAGCTCTGCCATATCTTGTGAAGCCTGGGGCAACCAAAGGCTGGGCTGTTGCGACAAAGCTACTGTGGAAGTATTGCAATAACTGCATGTAGCAAAAGAGAGGCTGTCCTTTTCACAGTAGCTTAACTCTTATGTTCCTAATTAAGAACAGATTGGAGGCCTAGGATTTGGGGTTTGGTGTAGGGTTATATAGGGTTTATGTTTACAGGCTACAGGTCTTGCAGTGTTGCCGGCACAAAAGAAAATTAGAGATCCTGCCTTTCATGGCCCTAGTCTAGTGCATAAACCTGGTAATGGTCAAGCGAACCTAATCAACAGGTACATGACAATAATCTAGAATTTAGAAGAACAAGCCGAACGACTTCAGATTCTGTGAATCTCAACTCTGAGCCAGTAGCTCAACCCTTTTTGCAACAGGCTTTCCACTTCGCCCGGAGTTCAACCCTAAACCCTTAACCACGCTCATGTGCGCTTTGGCACTTGCGATGCCTACGGGTGCATCACAGGGACCCAATTGCACCTGTAATCGAAACCTTCCCCGTTTTAAATGTATAGTGGTTCTAAGGCTCTAAGGTACCCCTCTCGTTCTCGTTCTCTCTCTCTCTCTCTCTCTCGCTTTTTCTCTCTCTCTCTCTCTCTCTCTCTCTCTTTCTCTCTCTTCAAGCCGACACAAGCCAGTCGGTATCACAGCTGTCACGTTGACAGTGCAAGAATCAGAAAGTCTATACAGTTCTCGCGTCAGGCTTTAGAATGCAGCAAGAGACGTCTCACCAGCTATGCTGCAACAACGAAAGTCCCGAACTCAAAGGACATCCGCACGCTACAGTAGGGCTTAGGGTTTAGGGTTTCTAGTGGTTTATGGTTTAGGGTAGAAACCTCAGTTCCCAGCATCCTCAAGCCCGAGACTCTGCGTGACACCGGGCCTCCACAGCGACCACGGAACTTGCGCCCAACTTCGCCGCCATCAGAGAGAGGAGTCCGCTACCAGAGCCTGAAATCGACGGCTTTGGAGTTTAGGGGTTTAGGGGTTATAGTACTTCAGCGGCAGTCTCATGATCGTGCATATCGTATGGCATGTAATGATTTTATAATCAGGGATATTGTCCAAGGGTGTTGCTATTGGAGAGGATTCCGCAACCAAAGCCTGAGCGCAGGGTTTGCCATCCGCCGCCAGCTTCATGGGGTAGTACTGGTGGTGTGCTGGTGGTAGTGGGCTGAGGAATTTAAGGATCAGATGTATAGGGCGCAAAAGCCGGAATCTGAATCCCCAAACATGGAGCCTGGTATAAGAATTATATTTTATACTTAAAGGTGATCTCCGCCCATGCAGGCGGCACAAAGGCTCCGAAGAGGGCCATGGCTTGCTTCGGGCTGGGGTTGGGGCATCCAGATTGCCCATACATGCAAGCCCAACACAGACAACGGGCTTTAGGGCTTTGGGGCTTAAGGGTTTAGGGCTTAAGGCGGGGGGGGGGGGGTTTAGGGCCTAATGCCTCAGAGGTGCATCCAAACTGCCCATGCAAGCCCGACAGAGACAACCATGAACGAGACTCACAGTTCTGCGAAGCCGACCGGCTGAACTACCGCAGCGTCGATGCTTCGCTTTGCTTGCTGCCCAAACCATGCACCGCAAGAAAGGAATATGGGAGCCTTGATCATTAGACTAGAACAGGGCTTCGGGGTATAATGAGGAACGCTCAGGAATAGTATCGGTACCTTTGCCGAGCGCGACAGTAGAAGAAGTCGGGTGCTCCATCTTCGAGCGACCCGGAACTCGTGCCACGCTGCAAGATGTTCAAAAGCGAGTCAGATTGAAACTCTGCAACCTTAAGCCATAAAGCCCTGAACCCTACAAACTGTCAAGCCCAAACCCTACCTACACCCTAGTGATCAACTGGCCTATGTCGATCACGCGCTTGCCCTGGACGACGGCAGCCAGGGCATCCCAGTAGAACTGATTTCGATGAGAATCATTCCTCGGCCAAGGAGCGCTAGACCCAAAACCGCCGACGGATAACTGCAGTAGTTTTAGTATATAGGGTTGTTTACGGTTTCGTTTCACAGATCAGGGTTTACTGCTTTGGGTTTACGGTTTGGGGCAATAGTTTCCAACTAGGAATCCATACGCTTCAATGGTCATGATACCGGGAATGCTGCACTCAATCTGCTCCTCAGAAAAGATTGCAAGTAATGAGAAATAGCGACTTCCCAAAGCCCAAATGCAAGGAGAATTGATTCTCACACCAACATCCACGCATTACTCATCAAGCCCGAAACACCGCACGCCCCAAAAGGTGGGACCGCACGCGCAGAAGCCCCCAAAGACTTTGGGTTTTAGGGTTTGTGACAAAGATAAAAAAGTCTCAGGGACGCGGTGTGGCGGTTCGTTGGAGTAGTTGGCCTAAACACGAATGAAATGGAATGGAAGCTTTCTGACCCGCTCTCGACAAGTCACGAGTCACTAGTCCCAAGTGTAGTGCGAGCAGCTCGAAGACTCCCCGGCCACAAACCAGTTGTTGCATGCCCTCCATTCTACAACAAACCTACCTTTTAGTCTCAATTGTAGATCATTTTCTTGGTTTAACCATTCTTATATTTAGGACCTTGTAAGGTAACCCCAAAAAAAGAACTGCAATGGAGACAACTAACCTACTCCATGGATAGCCTGGAAAATTCCGAGGCAGGTCACAGCATGGCAAAGTGCCAATCGTTCACGGCCTGTGATTAACATGCTGCTGTCTCGAGGTCCATGTTAGCCCGATGCAGCAGGGTATGGCTAGTTTCGGGCACCCTGCATGTTTAGACTGCATATCACTGCAGAATCAGCGAAATCAGTAGAACAAACGTCACTCTGGCACCTCGATGAGTGACTCATTGCGGCCCTTCAAGCGCGGAGGAACCCAGTGACCTGCTTGTGGGACCAGGTTGTTCGGAAAATGGGCATGTGTTACGCTGTAGGTGTAGTGTTGAAGTTGTCACCGCTCGCACTGGGACATGCTGGGGTGGCACTAAACATCGCAGGCTACAGTAATTGGGGGTATAAGGATTGGGGAATCCAGCCTCGAGTCATCGCATCTTCGTAGCCTTGGCAGGGTCTTTCCCGGCCCCCTTAAACAACAAAAAAAACTTGAATGCTCCTTGAAGAGGTTGACCGACATTCATGTGAACACCAACCTAAGACAAGGTTCCAAACTCTGTGTTCTCCATGCCCTGGGGTGCAGGCTCTCGGGATCAAAAAACACCTCGGATCTGGGAAGCAACCTCAGCCCTGTCCTTGTCGTTGCTACTCTTTTGGTTACGACTCTTCTGTCTCGCTTGTGTTGTCATTAGTGTTTGATGTTCTTTTTGTGTGACTAATGCTACTTACTAAGTTGTCACAAACACTGCAAGCTATCTACCTGGACCATGGAACACAGTACCTTTATCTCGATGACGTGCGGTATGGTTACGGTCCCATAATCAGAAACTAGGGTAACCGATCAAGGGTTCCTCAGGAAGAGACCTGTACTGTTGGACCCGGCTGAAATTCAATGACCGGTTTAGAAACTGTTACATTCAATACTAGGCCTTTGGGGTAAGATGTAGTATGCTGCATTTGTTTTGCTTTTGTTTTGTGCGTGTGTGTGTGCGTGTGTTTGAGTTTGTAAGTAAGTAAAAAAGCAGAAACTAGATAAATATATAGAAAGATTGATACAAGACGGATAGACAGACAGACAGAGAGAGATAGATAGATAGATCGATCGAACTGTTGCTTTCCGCCGTCTCTTTCTTTCTTTCGCCAGGCCTGTGGGCAGGAGTGGTACCCCTGCCGTCTCTCTCTCTCTGTCTCGGAAACACCAATTCCCCAAACCGCCATGCGCAGACAAGCGATCTTGCCAGGTGGCGCGTCGAGTCCTCGTACTCCTCGCCGTCGTCACATCCGGGAGGGATGAAAGAGTCCTCGGATATGAGCCCGGCACAGCTGGTAAACTGAGTCCTCTTCGATTCATTCGGGGGTTTGGGGCTTTAGGGGCTGTTGGGTGTGGGCGACGACAGGGATTGCGGGGAGGCGGGCGCAGGGCCTAGGGCGCAGGGCCTATGATTGCAATCTGAGTAAAGTTTGCAAGGGGTTGTACTAGGGTTTGATAAGGGTTTCTATGATATGTGGCGTCACCGCAGAGTACTGAGTTGCTGAGGCTACTTATATACTATCCAAGAGACTCAGGGTTGAGTTTTCCTTGCGAGGAAATATATAGGGGCTCAGAACAAGGAACACCAAAACAATGCAAGCATTGAGGGACACAGGCAACGCCTATACTAGACCTTTGCTGCCTTCTTCTCTGCGGTCGAGGGCCTTGGGACCGTGGGAGCTTAGAGCTGTAAACCCCGAAATCTGCTCCGTAAGGCTAGCTCTGCAAGCGATGGGACCCCAAAGGGTTCATGTACCTACATAATGAGCATTTACTATACTTAGGCCTAAAAGCTGCGACGGATAGAGGTAGTTTAAGGCCTTTTGGTTCACAAATGGGGACTAAGTGACTAAGTGCAACAAAGGCGCTGAATACTTCGGTGCCTTCGGCATTGCAGCTACTGCCTGGGCGAAGCACCCGCGGCAGCATCGAGAGCAACAACAGCAGTACTGCCGAACATCCTTCACCCATCAACTAGTAACCAATAGCAACAGCATGTTAATCAGTAGCTGTAGAAGAAGTCGCAGTCTTTTCAGCCCCGTCATGCTTGTAGCATACACAATCCCCGTAGCCATGAAACACGGCCCTAAACCCTAATGCCTACAGCACAGTCCGAGACCCTCAAAGCCAATAAGTAGGCCCTAACATTTGCCCTGTTTCAGTGAAAGATCAACTGCCGAGGTGCCGCCGCCGGACGTTTGGGTCTCCACTGAGGCTTGCCCTCCCATGGTTACAGGAGGTTATATAGATGCTAGCCAAGCCGATCTTCATCTCTGTCTGCCACGATCTCCCTCTCTCTCCCTCTCTCTCTCTCTCTCTCTCTCTCTCTCCCTCACACTCTCACACGCTCACGCACACACACACACTCTCTCTCTCTCTCTCCCTCTCTCTCTGTCTCACTCTCGTTTGCGCGTGTATGTATGTACATGCATATTGATTTATATGACATTCCTCAATTCCTCGTCCTCCCTCCCTCGGTGTCTGTCTCTGCGCCACTCCCCGTATCAGCCTCCACCTCAAATGGAAGCCTTGCACAAAAAGGGGGGGAGACAGATAACAGGAAACACTGAAGGAAAACAGGAGAAGGACACAGAGAGGGACAGAGATGCAAATATCAGTATGCATGTATATGGACTGATGGATGGATCTCTAAGTCATGTCTTGTCTTTCTGTCTGCCTGTCTGTCTGTCTTTCTGTCTGTCTGTCTCTCCGTCGGTCCGTCGGTCGGTCCGTCGGTCAGTCCGTCCGTCTGCGCGTGGGTGCGTCCGTCCGTCCGTCCGTCCGTGTGTCTATCTCTCTCTGTCTGTCTGCCTGTCCGTCGGTCTGTCTGTCTGCGTCGGTCTGTCTCGCCGTCTGTCTGCCGTCCGTCTGGCAGTCTGTCTCTGTCCGTCTCTGCGTGTCTCCGTCGGCCGTCTGTCTGTCCGTGTGTCCGTCCGTCTGTTCGTCTGTCTGTGCGTCCGTCCGTCTGTCAGTCTGTCTCTGTCCGTCTCTGTCTGTCTCTGTCTGTCTCTGTCTGTCTCTGTCAGTCTCCGTCTGTCTCTGCCTGTCTGTCTGCCTGTCTGTCTGTCTGTCTCTCTCTGTCTGTTGTCTGTCTCTCCGTCGGTCTGTCCGTCTGTCTTTCCGTCGATCTGTCCGTATGTCTCCGTCGGTCTGTCCGTCTGTCTCCATCCGTCTGTCTGTCCGTCCGTGCGTCTGTCCGTCTTTCTGTCTCTGTCTGTCTGTATGTCTGTGTGTTCTAACTGTCTGTCTGTCTGTCTGTCTGTCTGTCTGTCTGTCTCTTCGGTCGGTCGGTCGGTTCGTCTTTCTGTCGTCGTTCTGCCGTTGTGTCTCTCTGTCTGCCTGCTTGCTTGCCTGCCTGCCTGCATGCCGGCCCGCCTGTCTGTCTGACTGTCTGTATGAACATACCCACCCCCCCACCCCCCCCCCCTCTACCCACCCACCCACGCACGTACGGAGATAGATGGATAGATAGATAGATAGATAGAGATATAGATACATACATACATAGATCGATTCGATAGATAGGTAGGTAGGCAGGTATGTAAGTAGGTAGGTAGGTAGGTGTATATGTATGTATGTGTATGCGTGTGTATATATATATATATGTACAGCAACAGGCAAAAACAAACCCTTGCCGCCAACCTGCATGCCTACCGACATGCATTAGTGCATGCACGCATGCATACTTTACATAAGCCTGAAAAACATGCCCAAAAGAGAAGTCCCAGGGAGGGGCGCAGAAGCCTGCCGCACATTTTGAAGGCACATTTTGCAAGGACACGTAGCAACGACAACCACCTGAATGCTTAAATCATACCTGGCATATGAGATAATCCTGTGTCGCAGCACAACCGTTGAGTGAACATGCTGATGCAAAGCTGTGCATTACTGTTCCTAAAACTTCTGCTATGTCTCTCTTCTTGAATGGATTTTTAATCTATCGCATTGCAAAACATGCTTAAGAGTCCTTCTAGATTCTAGATGCTTATCGTGCATGCAGTCCTCTTTCTGCGGCTTTGCTTTGCCCATGGGCGCGCCCAAACCACCGGACGCCGACACAGCTGTGGCAGGCGCCACTAGGGAGGTGCAGGGATTTCGTGCTGGTGTGCTCAATCTTTGGGTTCATGGAGCTTTCGGACTTTTGATTCAGGAATCCAGGAATGTGGCAGGGGCCAACGGTCCAGACTTTCGGGGGGTCCAATCTTGAGGTTGTTGGACCTCTAGGCATTCAGAGTGACAGGAGGCCTCGGCTCAAGGGCAACCTGTATGAATCCGAATATACAAATGTAGATATGTATGTGTACATATGTATGTATATATATATATGTGTGTGTGTGTCTATGTGTGTTTGTACATATATATATATGACTAAGATCACCTCTTCTGATTTGATGACTATCCTGACTTGCAGTCTGACGAATTCAAGCAACTACTTCGGCTACAGCAGCTGGCACGCTTGAAGCTGGAGCCAGGCAGGGAAGCGAAGACGACTGGCAGCACAGTCGGTGCAAATCGAACCGGCGGAAGCAATGCCACGGTTAAGGTTTAGGGTTTAAGGTTTAGGGCTTTAGGGCTTCTGGTCTTTAGGTTTAGAGGTCTGCGAATTTGCACTAAAGCCTGAACCCTAGGTCGAAGCGGTCTCACGAAAGACTTGCAGGGAGCTTTGCTGGAAGGCTCTTGCACTCATGTGAGGCATCCCCGTGTATGATCCAGTACACAGCTATATAGATGGACTATACGAGAATGTTGGGGGGTAGCCCCCTGCCAGCTGCGCTTGGGAATCATGGTGTAGCACCCCGTGCCGAAGGCTGCTCTTGTGAATCGGCAATTCTTGCACCCTCAAGCCACTGCGAAAAACTGGCCGAGGGTGCGTCTGCGGTTTGTGCTTTCGTCCTCTCTCCGTCACTGCAAGGTAGCTACCGACTTCCGGCTTGGAGGTTTAATCAGCCATTAGGCATGCACCGAATTTGAGGTCTTAAGCGGTGTGGGGAGAACATCCGAGGCTGTCGGCCTTGTTGCTTCCAACACCACTTGAAAGCTCATGGCCGCAACCCAGGGCCCTAGTGGATTCGACATCTGGTTCACTCTGGAGGGCAACACCGCCGACTTCAAAGGCAAGGTTTTAGGGTTTAGGGTTTACCAATCTTATTTCGGGGGTTCCTTATGATATTTATACTATTATGGAGCTGCCAATGTCGTCTCTAGTTGACTCTATCGGAGCCCCAGAAAGCAACTAAAGCGCCTCCAATCAAAGTTCACACCCGTGTAAACCCGGCAACCCGAAGCCCCAGCACAAAACTTGCAAGCCTCCATCTTGGCACGGCCTGGCGGGAGCATCAGAGTGCATCTGCGGCTGCACAAGCTGAGGTGCAAGGCTGAGAGATTGGAAGCCCCTTGTCCTAAAGATTCACTCTCTGACAAGACATGACTGTCTGGCAACTACTCCGTGACCGAAGGCGAAAGTTTCTACCTGCGATATCTCTCGTCAGAATCGAAAGGGTGAAGGAGGCACTGCGTGCTTTCACTGCTTCACTCGGGACAGACATGGGTAGGTCACTAAATTAGGGTCCCTCTTTTAAGTCCCCCAAAATAGTACCCACATTCATGCTCAGGGACGCACCGAAAAGCTCCAAGGCGCGACTCCACCTGGTGTAATTTGGAGTTGATGCTGCAGTGATCCGACATTAATATATACATACATATTTAATATACGGGTTTAGTAAAGAGGGTTTATGGTTGCGGGTATGTATAAGTATGTATGTATGTATATATATATATATGACATACGGTCGAACGCACGAAAGAAGCATGCTGGCATGCAATCAAACCTTGCGCGCTATGATCGTGCCCGATCAGAGTTTTGCAAAAAGCTAGACCCCAAGAAGGTAGCGATGCTTAAGAGCTTTCCTGCAAACAGGCTGTGAGATCAGCTCGTGTATCGAAGTTGATATTATTCCAGAACCTGAAGCACCGAAAAGCTGCGTCGCCAAGAGAAAAACCTCTCAAAACCCCTCGCTGAGCCCTAAAACCACAATTCCTCGATCCTACGCCCCGTGTCCTGGACTCCGACCCCTCGATGCGGAACCAAGCCCTCAACCTGCAAGTTTAATTTTAAAGCCCCGCAACTCAACGCCTTGGATGCAAACTCCTTGAGCCTTGAACCCTATAGAGCCCTAAGCTCTGCGATCCCCTCCGTCCCTGCAGAAGACCCTCGACGCAGCCCCAAGAACGAGACCAAGAGCTGGGCTGATGAGCAGAGTCGCAAGCGGTCGCCACAGCCTACAAACATGCTTTGGCATGGAGTAAAGCAAGAGCTTGCCATCGACCATGCGGCAATAGACAGGAGTTGTTCCGCTTGAACCAGGTGGACATCTCAATTGCAGCCCACTCTCCGAACTTAAAGCTCAGCAGAGTGCTTAGACAAAGCTCCCTTTGGCAGAGACAAATCAGCCAAACTTCCTCTTGCGCCAGGAGGCACTGTACATCGCCACGTCGGGACCTCGGCAGTCTGCGACTTGCATGATGTCATCGCGTCTTCTTCCAAGTAGTTTGCTCTGAATGTGAGGAGTGGATGTGCATCTATGGTAATTGAACCACATACTACTATGGAAACACATGGAAGCAAAAGCTTGCAAGACATCCTAAACTGCAAACCCCAGCAACAAGGGGTCCATGATATGAAACTCCCAAACCCCGAGCCAAAGGGTCCAAGTGCCCTGATAGTCATTCATCTAGTCTCCTAAATAGTGTGCCCTACATAACTACTATCCGAACCCTTAGTATCAAATTATCGGGTGCTGTGGACCCTTAGGATCAAGCCTAAACACCAGAAACCCGAATAAACCCTCATAGTAACAATGGGCCACGGTGTGAAATCCCTAAACCCTAGACATAAACTTTAAACCCTGAACTCTAAGTCCCCAAACCCTATATCTCTAAACCCTAAAAACCCCAAAACCCTACATCCCTAAACCCCAAAAATCCCTCAACCCCTAAACCCCCTCAACCCCTAAACCCTAAATGCTGAACCCCTAAACCCTACACCCCTAAAGCCCTAAACCCCTAGAACCTAAACCCTAAACCCACAAACATCCTGGGGGCTCCCGGCGGAGGGCACCGTCTCGGACCTCCCGCAACAAAGCCCAGGCCCGGGCGCCCTGCGCAGGGAAGGTAAGGTTTAGGGTTTGGGGTTTAGGGTTTAGGGCTTTTAGGGTTCAGGGCTTTCAGGGTTTAGGGTTTAGGGTTTAGGACAACTCGGACAAGCCAGGCGAGGTTCCACAATTAGGTTTGAGTCCGCGAAGGTAGGGTTTAGGGTTTAGGCCGTGTCAGGCGAGGGCGCGCGCCCGGGTGTGTCTTAAGATCCTATAACAGCCTAAAATCCTAAATCCTGATACTTAAAACCTACATGCTAAAATCCTAAAGTGGGTTCAGAGCACGCACACAAGAAGAAGAAGACTCCTCGCCATGGGCACTCCTCCCAATTAAAGCTGGCATTTTTATAAGCAGGGCATGATAAGCCAAAATCAAGCCTTAATCTTTCGATTGCCAAGTCCGAAACCCTAAAGCCTAAAGCCTATAAATCCTAAACTCCTAAACTATAAGTCCTGAACTTGAAAACCTATTTCCTAAAATCCTAAGTCCTAAAATCCTAATAGCAATCTTAAATCCTAAAACCCTATAAAACCCTACATCCATCCTAACTTAATTCCTAGTGCAAGCGGGAGTTGTACCCTAAATCCTGAAAGCCTAAACGGTAAATCCTAAAATCCCAAATCCTAAAACCCTAAATCCTAAAATCCCAAGCGCCCGCCCAGAGGTTCATCGGTAGTTAGAAGTGAGGCTACTAGTAGCGCAATTATAAATATTTTAACCCATATTAAGGGACTTATACCCCCACTTCTGACTACCCACCCAGCTCTAAGCAAGGGTCCAAGGTTCAGGGCTTAAGGCCTAGGGATGGGATCCCGGGCTTTCTGATTCTAAGCACTTCTTGAGGGCAAACCTTCGTCGCATGGGGCATACCAGAAACCAGCCGTAAAGTCAAAGAGAAAGTGCATACAAGTATCTCACACGGTGCCAGGGGGAGAACACGTGCACACGAGGTTGATTCAAAACAACGCTGGCTCCCGGCATGGAGCAGAAGCTGGCCATTTCTTCCTTTGGCGCCCTTGGTTTTGCAGAGGGCTCGGCGAGATGGTGATGCACGTAACTATGGTGTTATACCTGTAGTCTCCATTGTAGTTCCTTTTTATGGTTCATATTTAGAATCCTATAAGGTAATCCCAAAAAGGAACCACTTAGAAGCCTATGGGTAGTGTAACATATGCAGACATGGAGAAAGCATGACAACCAAACTAAATGAGGCATCTCATCACAGCAGAAAATAGAAAGTACAGCAGTGACGAAACTACGAAGGACTGGCCAGGGGCCATGAACATGGTCACGGTGCGGCCATGCATCACTGCACTCTGACTCCATTCTGTCGCCTGCCCGTTCCGGACACCATTCACAAAAAAACAGCTGCAAGAGCAGCGAATGATTGTCATTGCTGAGACATTTTCCATCTTGGCCGGGGTCGAGACACCAGAAGATCAGAAATATCGTGGACAGATGTAAGCAGACCAGGCAGCCTGTGTCCGCACACAAGGGGGTCGAGACACATCCGCCCCAATCTGCGAGGACAAGTTCTTGACACTGGTTGTGTATGTATCTCTGGCTCGGACATCGTGTCTGAGAAGAGGCTGTTGGCTTTGTTCTCAGCTCCGCTCGATCTTTGTGAGTGTGAGTGTGGGCACCATCTGAACACTGCCGGAAGTTGGCCACCAACCGACCGCCGACGGCCCCCTGCACCAGTAGCGAAGGGACATGACAACATCGATAGAGCAAATCGAGACATAGAGTACAGTTGCCTGACTGAAAATAGTAAAGGATGCATATGTAACGTCTTCTATATGACTGTGCATGGTGCGACAGTACTTCAATTGCCAGGCAACGAACGTCTCACCTCCACATCGGCTTGCGCTGCTTCGGATGAAGCCATGGACTTGCAGACTGCGGGTACAACGTGGCGTTTTCGCAGACCAAAGTCACGGTCATCCGAACTCGGGGGGAGCACCTGCAAACAGTCGGCTCGCATGCTATATCGGAGACGTAGATACATATGTAATACTACGTCGCGCTGCAACTTCAGGGCACAGAAGCTGTTAAAACATAGAAGAAATAGCGACTTATTATGCTTCTCTCGTCGTCAATGCGTGTTTCTCGTCTGTCGGTATGCTGCATTTTGCTTTACGTGAAGCGCGACTCGCGATCATCACTGTGTCTGCTCTGCTTGACAAGGTCTACTGAGCCGACATTTTGGGAATGTGCAAATGCCGGTGGCAAAAACCTCCTCCGACTGAACATACAAAAAATCTGCTCCATTTTTGACACTTATAAGGCTTGGTGCTTCGATTCTTGCTCACACCTTTAAAGACCATGCCATGGCGCCGTCCACGCATCGCAGCGGTGTCAAGGCATCGGTAAGTACAGCAGGTAGCGGCGCATGGGCGCTGAACTCTGCCTCCTTCAGGTCAAGGTATCCTGGCATCTTCCCAGATTTGTGCAGGCTGGGTGTGTGAAAGCATGACATTTATTTGCTTGTGTGTGTGTGTGTGGGTGTGTGGGTGTGGGTGGGTGGGTGGGTGGGTGGGTGGGTGGGTGGGTGCCGGGTCATGACAACGTCGGAAACATCCACGCCGCCAGGTTGCGCGGGCCATCGGCTCCCAAACCCCGTGCCCACGGAGCGTACCTCCAGGAGGAAATGAATGCAAGAACAGTCGCAGGATTATGCAGGTTGGAGCATGAGCCTAAACTGACGTGGTTTCCAGAAGGAATATGGCGCATCGAGATGGCGTGGCCATCTGATTAATGGCATGCTTACTTCGAATCCCAGGGCTTGCAAAGCTCCAAACCTCCACAGCACCTACAAATCTACAAAGATCTGCTTGCGATGCTAGGAGCTTCGTTGTCCAGTCGCCAGCACTCCATCGAAACGATGTGTTGCGAACCTGATGGGGCTCTTCGGGGTTAGTTGCTGCCATAAGCACTTCTGCTCAACCAGCCTGTTGTGGCGAGTGTTGCCTTTTGTCCGAGCGCAACAAACCAAGAAGTAGCGACGAAAGTGCGACCAAGCTGCTGCAAAACCAGTACCATACCAGAAATTGCCATGCACACCTGTGCAGCTGGTGTCATGCAACATATTCTGACCGAACTGCATCCGGTACGGTTTCACAAGCCTTCTTCATCAATGTCGCCAACTGTGGAGTCCGCCATGAGAACAAACTCCCTTGGTCTCAAGAAGCTGCTGTGGGAAGGATACTGACATGATGCTCCATTCACTACTCGTGAGCAGCTGCAAAGGCTACACACCAGCAACAATGAAATTAACTGTAATCAGGTCAAGGCCGTGCGTCTGACCATTGTATTGGTATGCAGCCACATAATTGATCTTCGGAGACCCGTTGATCACGCAGTCGGGCAGATTGGCACAGAACTGACCCGTGCCCTGCGTCTCCTCTCAAAGCTTGCAAACTGTGCATGACAATGTGGTTTGCATCAGTGCCATACATCGGCTCCTGAACCCGGCCCTAAACCAAGCCCCTAAACCCTAAACCCTAGCCCCAAACCCTGGTGCGCCTCGCAGGTTCCGATGACCCAGTTGAAATGCGGGCGGATGCCGCAGCAAACTCCGCAGTGAGCCCACATCTGTGGGTTGCCGTACCTGCAGCCCAGGTCCGTAGTGTCAGTGGCACCTGCAGCGGACCGGAATGACAGCAGGCCAAAGCCCGACGGCTTGTAAAGTGCAAAGATTCGCTGCGATGTCACGCACCTCCCATGCCCCCCCCAGCCTGGAATGTTGGATCCCATGGGCGGGGCGTAACGCCCTTGCGCAGTTGCGTTTTCCAAACACGGAGCCGGCATCTCCAACCTCGAAATTGCATCTCTCAATTGGCTCATCCATTCAAGCGACTACATCACACTAAGTGGGTCTGCCTATTTAGTCGGGTGAACGTTTATATACATCAGACAGGCTGTCAAGCCAAGCATGCATCAAACACAATGTCACGCACATTACTAAGCCGATCTTTATACTCGCAGAACAGAACAACATGTCCAAACTCGAAGCCTTGGGCGGGCTCTGCAAGCCCATGCTGAGCATGATCGGATTCTGATTTGTTCCGCGTGCCACTGTAAGCCATGGAACTCGCGAAGGGCTGCCTGCAGCTCACCTGACATGTCCCATGCAGACGGCTCTTCTTCTGCATGATTGAACGTTTGCGAATGTTTGCAACATTATTCTCCTGTTGTGGTATGCCACAATCACAAGGGTGGAGGATTTCTTTCCCTTTTGTTTTGCCTTTTTTTTGTGGTGCTGGGTGGGGGTGGATCTGCGCATTTCCATGTTTATCTGGATCCTATGAGAAACTGTCATCATCATCTACTAGTACTAGATAGTAGTAGTACTAGTACCACTACTACTACTACTACCACCACCACCACAACTACNNTCCTGCTGTCAAAATGAACCAACACAGTCTGTGGTATCTGATCAGCGTGCAGTTAAGCAATTTAGCCCGGCGTTGTATTAGTACTAGTCTTGCTGATAATTATAGTATACAAGTCTGCTTATTATTACCGGCAGTCTTGCTATTGTTGTTCTTCTGATTCTTCATATGGCCTTCCTTCCCGACGTTGCATTAGTACTAGTATTGCTGATATTAATAGTATATAGGTGTGCTTATTGTTACCAATAGTCTTGCTAGTATTGTTCTTCTGATTCTTCATATTGCCTTCTTTCCTTCCTGCATTCTTCCTTCCTTCCGTCTCCTCACGTTCCTTCCTTCTTCGTCCTTCCTCCTTCCTTCCTTCCTGCCTCCCTGCCTTCCTTCCTTCATTCCTTCCTTCCTTCCTTCCTTCCTTCCTTCCTTCCTTTTTTCTTTCCTTCCTTCCTTCCTGCCTTTCTCCCCGCTTTCCTTCCTTCCTGCTTTCCTTCCTTCCTGCTTTCCTTCCTTCCTTCCTTCCTTCCTTCCTTCCTTCTTTCCTTCCTTCGTTCCTTCGTTCCTTCCTTCCTTCCCTCCTTCCTTCTTTCTTCCTTCCTTCCTTCATTGC